TTTTGCTAACATTACCAATCTTACTCCTGGACATTATCAAGACCAATGTTGAAATATGGATACGGTCCAAATTTCCCATTTTCAAAATACGTTAAGATTCGTCTTTTCCTGTTATATTCTATTTGCAGTCACCAGCCAGTGACCAACGTGAACCTTCAAGTCAGAGGAAATTGACCGTCCTGGCCTGGAGTGGGATGGGCACCACTATGTCCACATGACCCATAAACACAAAGCATGAATGAACACATCTCCCACTTTCAACCCAGATACTGACATACAATCGACACACATGGAGAAAGCTGCTCATTTGTCCATCTAACCTACAGCCACAACCAGTTCTAGAACTGTTGATTATGATGATAACGGCGTCGACAATAAGCAAGGAACAACATGGTATTCAAGTTATTCGTTCGGATAAAAGTATTTACCAATTATCATATGCTTTTAATAAAACTTGTATGCATTTGATAATATACGATGTTTCTCATAAATTTTCTAGCATTATCATAATTGTCATAATGTTAGTAAAATCTTAGAAGTGTATTTGATGTTTAATATGATCAGTACTGCTAAATATAATCTTTAGAGGCCTTTGAAAAACCTCAGGAGGTCAGGAAACAGGTCACATAAATATAAATTTCAGCATTTCATCGAAGATGTTCTTTGAGGATTCTTCTGTTTAGGCGCTTTTTCAAAGACGTAATCTATGAGAATAGATCAAATCGTCCCCAACCCAAACAAAATTCTAATGTTGTTAAATCAGCAGTGTGAAGAAAATACGAAAGGAGATGATGATGATGATGATGATAATGATGATGATGATGGAATGGCATAAGGAGCTGAAAAAAAAACAAGCAGAAGAAAGAATATAATATAGAATCCGGGAAATATAAAAGCATTTCTAAAGCGTTTTTCAATTTCTCGATTTTGAATAAAGCCTTCGGACACGTGATCTCTCCTCCCTGTAACTTGTCGACTTCGAATTAAAATAGCATGTCCACTTTATGTAGATGCGAACTGACAACACTGTATAATAAAACAAAAGAGAAGAAAGAAAGCATATACAGAAAGGAATAGTGGGGGGCAACTGTTTCAATAAAAAAAAATAAAGTGAATTTTTATAATGAAAACAAATAGGTAAAGTAAAAGTGAAAATTGAAAAATGTGAAAGTGAAAGTGAAAGTGACAATAAAACAAAGAGACAGTGCGAAATTTGAAGTGGATGCTAAAAATAGACGAACCAGAAGATAAGAGATGGGCTAAATGGAGGTGATATGACTGTAAAGTCGTGCAATTATTATTGTTCCGGAGTGCAAAATATCACGCGTCAATCCTGATGCGTAAAAATATGTTAAAGGAATAAAAAAGAAATATCTGGAAAAGATTATTTCCATGATGAATTTGCAAGTATCTATCTATCTATCTATCTATCTATCTATCTATCTATCTATCTATCTATCTGTCTGTCACATTCTATTTCCATCTATCACAGTCTTTTCATCTATCTATCTATCTATCTATCTATCTATCTATCTATCTATCTCAGTCTATTCATATATATGTATTTATCACATGCTATTTCTTTCTTTCTTTATTTATTTTTTAGTCTGTTCATATCTATCTATCTATCTATCTATCTATCTATCTATCTATCTATCTATCTATCTATCTATCTGTCATATTCTATTCTATATATCATAGTCTTTTCATCTATCTATCTATCTATCTATCTATCTATCTATCTATCTATCTATCTATCTATCTCAGTCTATTTCCATGTACCCTTTCTTTCCTTCTCTTTCTTTTCCTTACCTAATGATAGCTACAACGGGGTACAGAGACCGAAAACTGTGCTAAGGAAAAATGAGTTTAGAGATATATTTGCGCCCTCCTGCAATATTCGAACCTGCGTCCCACCCACCCATAGAGCTACTGTTAGACCTGGCAAGAGAGAGGGCAGATTTCGCTTTAATAAGATTTCTCGAACATTCAGATCGGTAGACAAAAATAAATATATTCTTTCATAAATAAACGGAGCCTCGACTGAAATACGAGTATGCACTAAAAATAATGGTTAAAGTGATGAAAATCTCTCGGATTAATACCAATCCATTACTTTCTTTAGAAACATTGCAATGTTTACGTTTGGATACGAAACTGTGTAGGTATGAAAAATCTCGGAAAGACGTTTCAATTGAAGCCACAATTTCGGCCTTACCTTGTCGTCAGGTTATTTTTGGCTCAGTTGGTTAGAGCATATTTGCGCTAATGGTAGCTCCCTTTGCCCAGTGGTATGCTGGTTCGGATCCTGCTGAAAAGTGCAAATTTTCTTTAATAAGAGTTCTTGAACATTTAGGCCGGTAGATGTAAATAAATTTATATACTGTTTAATAAATAAATAAAATATTTAAAAAAAATATGTCGGATTATTAAAAATCCATTATTTACTTGAGAAAAAAGAAAAATATATATTTAATTATATATTCGGGCATCAATCCCTCTTTTATAAAAGACGACTGACAAGGTACTACGATTAAGCTTTTTATTATTCTCAACGTTATTTTTAGTGTTTGAGTTGGTATTTTGAGTTGCTGTTTTTTTTTATTTTATTAAACAGTCAAATTAATGTCCTACTAAAACAAAATTGTACCTCCAAGAGGACTCGAACCTGCATTACTTTTTTTTCATAGTAGGGCTTCTTAATTTAGGTTAGTTGTTATTTATTTCACTGTTTCAAATATATATATATATATATATATATATATATATATATATATATATATATATATATATATATATATATATATATATATATATATATATATTTGATGTGAGTTTGTGACACTGGGTTTCACGCTTTAGCGATCGTCAGACAAACTGATTAATGTTTTAAAAAATTTGGGTTTATGTAGATTGCGTGTATTGGTGTTGTTGTGGAAATATGTTAGCTCTATCTCTGATATTGAGCGCTTTCTAATAAGTACCGTATATAATATATAAATAATTATACATATATATATTTATTTATATTTTTATACACTTTTCACACACACACACACACACACACACACATACATATATATATATATATATATATATATATATATATATATATATATATATATATCAAAATTGTTCAAATCGTGTAACAGCAAATTTGTCCAATTATTAGATTAAGCTTTGAACCGTTTTATCTTAGAAATGTTTAAAGATAATGATGGACTTTATTTTGAAGAATAAAGTTTGTTTTATGTTTATAAAACAAACTTTTTGATGTTTTCTTTCGGCTTCCTAAGAGAGTAGGGACTTTTGGACCAAACTAATATTACAACCGAAAACAGAATGTTGGAATCTTCGCGATCCGCCTTACCGTGAGATTCTTAATGCGGAGGTTGGATGATGGCGGCTGAAAGAGCAAGAAAATGAAGGCGAATACTGTCAAACCCTCTCTTTCCTTGCTGCCCAGTTTTGAAGGAAGTAACGTCACCATATAAAAAAATGACCAAAAATACATTTTTAAAGCAAAATGATCAGCAATACATTTTATCTGTACTTCGTTGAAACCATAAAATTGTGTTCAAATTATTTAGATTTCAGCATTAAATAACCCATAGAGGTGTTGATATGCCGCTAAACAAAATCAACCAACCAACATGAAAAAAACTCTTTCATGACATTAATCCATATAATCGACCTCTATTCCAAAATATAACTTCAACAAAACTACAACATAAAAACATATATCACCGCCTATACTAATGATATCTATACATAAAAGCTGAGTTTCATCTACCATGTATTCAAATGTGAAAGCAGAATAACATATATCATGTTTTTATTACTTCAAAGCTTGCAAGAACATTAAGTTTTCGGGATCGTCATAAGACTCAATATACTGCGACAAATATCTAAAAGGAGAGGTGATCATTCTCGTTTTCTGGGCTGGGATCAATGTATATGGACAATTCTTGGATTGGCCAAAGCCAGCTACACATGAAAAAAATCTTGTCTCAGATTTTACCACTGTAGGGAGATAATCGCGGCTTCTGGGCTCAATGCATAATATCTGTTCCCCTGTTTAAACAATGTAGAAGAAACATTGTCTTGGGGGTTTCAAACCGGCAACAGCGTCTCGTCTGCAGTTACCCTCTCACAGACGCGCCGCCGCCTCTCTGTCTTTTCTACAAATACTTTCATGGTAATTGCTCCGATGAGCTGCTTTCACTGGTTCCCAGACTCCATGAATTCAAGCGCCTTACGAGGCTGGCATCCCTCTCCTACCCTTACACCGTAGAAACTTTCAAATGTAGCCGTCTCTTCTACTCCAATAGCTTCATACCTCGCACCTCTCGCCAGTGGAACACCCTCCCCAATTACTGTTTCCCTGAGAGCTATAATCTCCAACTATTCAAATGTAATGTCAATCGACACCTCCAGTTACCTTGATCTACCCACTATCTTTCTCCTCATCCTTTCTCCTATCACTCCTATCCGCTCTCGCTCCAAATCTTCCGCAACCCCCTGCATCGTAGTGGCTTCACGCCTTGCTTGGGGCACAATGCTTAAAAAAAAGTACCTTCCTCATTGCACTAGAGACATAGTATTGGCGGGCATTGGACAATTGTAGAGCGATAGAGAAACATAATTTTTATTCAAAACAATTTAAAAAATCGTCACACTTACCGGGCTGTTGACAATAAAATTGTAATTACTTTTTGGATCCGATTATTAAAAATACGAACGCGAGTGCCGCTCCGCCAAAACATTATACGAGAAATGGTATTGTTACAAAAAATAAATAAATGAACAAATAGTTTGGTTTGTCGCCCAGAACACATTCATTGCTTTCGAGCTGGCTCAATGTGACAGGCCAATCAAGATTTTGGCTAAGATATCCTTCCCAGAGCAACATGAAGCCCATTCATCGAGGAATCTTTCTTACAAATAAAATGGCATTAAGTTTAATCGGCTCATGTTTTGTTTTAAAGATCTTCGGCTTTATGTTTTACAAGCATTCTTTTTTCTTTCTTTCTTCTTTCTTTCTTTCTTTCTTTCTTTCTTTCTTTCTAAATACGTTGTTTTCGTCTTACGTCGTCCTTTTTTATATTACAAGCATTCTTTTTTCTTTCTTTCTTTCTTTCTTTCTTTCTTTCTTTCTTTCTTTCTTTCTTTCTTTCTTTCTAAATACGCTGTTTCGTCTTACGTCGTCCTTTTTTATATTACAAGCATCCTTTTTTCTTTCTTTCTTTCTTTCTTTCTTTCTTTCTTTCTTACTTTCTAAATACACTGTTTCGTCTTACGTCGTCCTTTTTTTATATTACAAGCATCCTTTTCTTTCTTTCTTTCTTTCTTTCTTTCTTTCTTTCTTTCTAAATACGCTGTTTTCGTTTTACGTCGTCCTTTTTTATATTACAAGCATTCTTTCTTTCTTTCTTTCTTTATTTCTTTCTTTATTTATTTCTTTCTTCTTTCTTTCTTTCTTTCTTTATTTCTTTCTTTATTTATTTCTTTCTTCTTTCTTTCTTTCTTTTTCTTTATTTATTTCTTTCTTCTTTCTTTCTTTCTTTCTTTCTAAATACGTTGTTTTAGTCTTACGTCGTCCTTTTTTATATTACAAGCATTCTTTTTTCTTTCTTTCTTTTTTCTTTCTTTCTTTCTTTCTTTCTTTCTTTCTAAATACGTTGTTTTAGTCTTACGTCGTCCTTTTTTATATTACAAGCATTCTTTTTTCTTTCTTTCTTTCTTTCTTTATTTATTTATTTCTTTCTTTCTTCTTTCTTTCTTTCTTTCTAAATACGTTGTTTTCGTCTTACGTCGTCCTTTTTTATATTACAAGCATCCTTTTCTTTCTTTCTTTCTTCTTTCTTTCTAAATACGTTGTTTTAGTCTTACGTCGTCCTTTTTTATATTACAAGCATCCTTTTCTTTCTTTCTTTCTTTCTAAATACGCTGTTTCGTTTTACGTCGTCCTTTTTTATATTACAAGCATTCTTTCTTTCTCAAAAAGTCTTTCATTTTTTTCGTAAGTAGCTTTTTCGGCTTTCTAAATATTCTTTCTTTCTTTCATCCTTAATGTTTTCTTTCTCTTTATCATTCACTATGCCTTGTCTTTTTAAAAGTAAGCTTTGTTTCTTTCTTTTTAAATTATTCTGACTTTCTTTTTCTTTTTCTTTTTGAGAAACAGTCTTTCTTTTTTGGTTTTCTTCTTTCTTGTTTTTCTTTATAATATTTCTTCTTTCATTATTTCTTTCTTTCCTGTTTTCTTTTGTTTCATCATCTGCTTTCCTTGGACATTTCTTCTTCCTCTTCTTTCAGCAACAACAACAATTATCATTGATATTCTGTTTCTAACATGTTGACTCATCACCGGATGTCCAACACTTCTGATCTGACAGATTTCTGTCAAATCTTAAGAATTCCAAATTAAATAAGAACTTACTTGAATAAGAAAACAATTTACTCCCACATCTTTTTGTTGTTGTTATTGTACCTATTTCCTTCTCACTTCAATTCATCGTTTACTTGATTTCTTCTATAATCATTATTTTCATTCTTTTTTCCTCTTTTTCGCTGAATTTTTTTCATTTTTCTTCTACGTTTCTCACTATTTCTTCCACTTCCTCATCGCAGTCACTTCTTTCTTTCTTTCTTTCTTTCTTTCTTTGCATCTCTCGCTTTTCTTTCCTTCTTTTCTTCTAGACTTCATCCACTATTTAATTCCATACTTTCCTTTTACTTTTTCATATTTCCTCAACCGCATCTCTTCTTCTTTCGTTTCCTCTAATTTCCAGTCTATAATATCTTCTTTTGTTTTATCTATCTATCTATCTATCTATCTATCTATCTATCTATCTATCTATCTGTGTGTATGTGAACGAAACAAAACTAATCGTCCAAATCACGCAATAAAATAAAAAAGAAAATTATTTGATATGATGAAAACTAGAAATAAATTAAAAACTGCGACATTCAAAGAATTTTTAACCGATTCTGGCGTCTCGAAGACAATTCAAGGAAAGCAATTCCTTCACTAAGATGTCTGCTGTCCTTTCCATTTCCTGTCCCAGGGCTCCAGCCATTCTGCAGGCGAAGACAAAAATGATTTAATCTGATTTCAAGCATTTAAAATAGCCACGTCTCTTGCGCTCTGTTCGGTTCATCCGACTAAAGTTGCATATCACGATTGTCCAGCGTCACATTTCGGAATGTTTGGTGAACGAGCGTATCATAAATGAAGTTGTTTCTTGATGAGTGCTTTAATATTACTTGATGCGTTTCCATCTCTTTTTCAGATTGCTATCTATCTATCTATCTATCTATCTATCTATCTATCTATCTATCTATCTATCTATCTATCTATCTATCTATCTATCTATCTATCTATCTATCTATCTATGTTCATATTTATTATTTCATTTCCACAAAAGGTCTGAGTAATTATCTGTTATGGTCCGGTTCCTTGTACCACGGTGATAGTCCAAGGTAGAACCAATAAAGATGAACTCGAACATAGGTATGGAATAACACAGATATATTACAAACAGGAATATATACAGAGAAGAAGAAGTGTTAGTACGAACAATCAGGTTTAGTAGAGAAAACAATGTAGTTTCGACCAGTATCACTATTCCAAGTCTTGCAGTAATTGTCTAAACGCGACTCTGTTTCGGACTGCCTCTGATTCGAATTGAACTACTGACTGAGGCGCAGGATTTATTAAGTATGGAATAGTCCATTATTATTATGGGTAAGATCCCATAACATTATCTAACGTAGAAAGAGAGTTTGAACGACAAGCTAACCTTGATGGTCTCTTCCCTCGATCTGTTGGGCCTCGGAAGCATTCACATGTAAGCTCGAACCAGTACTAACATCCTGTCATAAAGCTTACAACCAGGGTCAATACCCTGTTATGTCCACACAGTACTAAAATGACGAACCAGCATTTCCATGCTGTTATAAAACTGCATGGCAATCCCTGTCCTCATGTTGCAAATACGACGCAGCATGCAATCATTATTTGCTGTCCGTTTCTCATTCTTTTTAATTTTACTTGCAAATTTTCTCTTTCGCTCGGATTCCCGTTGAATGTTCACAGTTACCATTCGGAAAAAAAACAAACTCGGAACGGATGACATAGCAGAATAAACGATTAAATGTTCATACGGAATGGCTTGAAACGAATGAATTGCAAATAAAATGAAGGAAACACTGGTCAGAACGTGCGAGGCAGATGTTTGCAAATACAAACGAATCAAACGTTGTGAATATTGAATGAGTTTAAGAAGAAAGTTAAAAATGGAGACGGGGGCTTGTATTCTCCAGATGGTCGCTTATTTCACAGCAGTTCATATGTCAATATATCGGAATTGTTCTTTTATAACAGAATACAGAAGTTTAGCAAAAAGCTGGCGCAGGTTGAACCGAATTTGGTAGCTAAATAATGATGCTATTTATAAATGTTATCCAAAATATCGGGACCGTTTGCAGTAGTCTAATATGAAAGAGAGAGAGAGAGAAAGAGAGAGAAAGAGAGAGAGAGAGAAAGAGAGAGAGAAAGAGAAAGAGAAAGAGAAAGAGAGAAAGAGAGAGAGAGAGAGAGAGAGAGAGAGAGAGAAAGATATGGAGCATTTTTCATATCTAATCAGCCTCAAGGATTTCGAACCAAGAATTAAAGCTGCACACGTGGCATTTGGAAAGCTTATCAGATTATCAAAGTCATCTTAAACAAGAAAGATCTGAACTTCAAAACAAAAACAAAAAAATTGTGGTCTATAATGCTGTTGTCACGTCAACTTTGTTATATGGCGACGAAACCTGGACTTCGTCGGGATATACAAAAGTTAGAAAGCTTTTATCAGCAAAATTTCGTTCAATCTTGAACATCAAATGAAATTACTATGTGACCAACACCAAAGTCCTGGAAAAATCCAACAAACCATCGAATCGCTGATCAGAAAACATCGTCGTCTGCTGTTCAGGACATGTTCACGAATGGAAGAGTCAAGGTTTCCACGTCAAGACTTATTCAGTGATTTCACTTCAGAAGAAAGACAACACAGTTGCCCATTTCGAAGATACAAGGACCAACTTAAAACAACACAGAAAGTCACAGCTTTTGAGCCTTAGCCTTTTGAAACACTAGCCTGAAACACTGGCGGTGTTCAATCCCTATCGGAATAAAAAAAATCGAGCCACCAAGATAGAAAAAGATTTCAAACGACGAGAGAAAGGCTCGATAAAATCAACCTCGTCCTTAACCAAACATAAAAATGCAATCAATTCCATCGACTCTTCCATACAAGAATTGGTCTAAATTAGTCATCCATTATAAAGCAGTGATTATCAATCTGTTTTTTTCTGATGCACCCATTTCAGCATAAGTCTCCCACCTTTCCAAGATTGTCCGACTCAAATGGTGCATTTCAAATAATATGCACATATTATTGAAAATATTGACCTTTGTAGGAGTTTTCCTGTAACGTAACCCCTACAAAGTAAACTTGACTTATGATTGGTCTGGCTGGGTGAAACACTTTACACAAGAATACTACACCCTGGTAATTGTTTATCACTTAACGCTATAACTTCAGGAACTTACTCAAATAATGTATTTATAACAGATAATATTCTATATATGTTATTTTGAATTTACAAACTGAAAAATATTATCAATACAATTACAGGCTACATATAATGTCTCTGTTTTTCACTAACACTTGTAACTTCTTGACCTCTGACAAACCCTTTTTTTCTAATTTGTAATGTCGTCGTCGGCACTCCACTCGCATTCGAGCATCGGGGGGGGGGTCGTCATCCTCTCACCCTATTCCTTTTCTCTCTCCCTTGGTGGCGGTGGCGGAGATGTCTGTGAATCAGAGAGAGATTGACAGGGCCATTCGTGCAATGTTGATTTTGATAGGCAACTCTGCGCAACGTCCAGAAGTGTCTCCTTCGCGGGTCTAAGGGGAACGAGACAGACGAGATCTGGCAAAACAGGTTGCACCGGGTTGTCGGGTTTGTTGGTCTGTCATGGTCCACTTTGATTACACCAGCCCGACTAGTGCTGTTCTCTTCCGCCGGTTTGGCCGTTAAGATCGTGTAGATCAGTAATTATCAACCTATTTTACCCGATGCACCCTTTTCACCATGTCAGGATGCCATTCCTCCTTTCCAAGATTGTCTGATTCAAAAGGTACATTTTAGATAATATGCATATATTATTGGCCTCAATTCCCCCACCTGAAACTCCCCCCTAAAGGAGAATTCCCCACTGGTTGAGAACCCCTATCATAAAGGAAGCGATCAACATAGAAGAAATTACATTCTTGTATATGGTATAAAGCCGACGAATATACGAGGGTCGATCAGTAAGTTCTATGTGACTGATGGAGAAACAATGGATTAAGTACATTCGTATGAAAGGATAAAATGAATATTTACTGTTTACAATGAATACTTTTTTTATTTTTCAATATTACTTGGCAGTGTCCTTCTTCTACTACTTCTTTATGACTTAGCAACGTCAAGACTGGTTAGTACCTAGAGAGAGGACCCCTTGGGGATACCAGGAGCTCTAGGCTTGGATGTATGGGTGGTATAATGGATAATGGCTCGGAATGTTTAATCGGATATCCGAGTTCGAATATCAGTTAGGTTTGTTATATTCACTTACTCTTGGGAAAGGCATGAATCCATCTCTCTTCCCACGGAGCTATGGGTTAATTAGTAAAAGTTCTATTACTAAACGATTATTGTCTAAAAATGAAAAGAAAACTCCAGTATTACGTTAGTTTCAGTGTTCTATTCTGTGAAATGATATGAAATTATTTGCCTGTGTTTAACCTTTTTTTATCCTTTTGACCTGAGTGCTCCTGACCGGTGAATATAAAATGATTTTTAGCTACCGTTCTAACTTTCATGTGTTTCTCTATTTTTATCCATTTAACTTGAGTAATAACCCTAACCCTAACCCTAAACCCAAACCTAACCCCAAAACAAACCATAACCCTATGGCACCAATGAATTCCATCGTAATAATGACCATTAATGTACTATTTTGTCTTTATTATTATTATTATATTTCTGATGATTCTGATTTATATGATTAAGTGTATGTTATTGTTGCAGCAAACCTACGGACGATAATGGGTATGTCTCCATTCACATAAATACAGTAGTAAATACTGTATGTTGTGTTGCAGTTTTTAACCAATCAAAAGACGTAAAATATTCAATCCGTTGTGTATAAAGGCGGCCATTTTGTTTACTCTCTCCGAATGTCCAGTGCCAACTTGTCAGGCGAAGAGGAACAGAAGGAAGAACTACTGAACTACGCTTTGCTACTTTACCAGGATATCCACTGCTAACCTGAACAAAGCTTCCCTACTGTCTTCGAAATATTCACTGCTAACCTCTGGATTCTATACTCAAAGACGATCGTCATCATGAACAACATGTTGGTCTGCAGTTGGAGATTCGTCTCCAGCTGTGCTGGTCAAACTCTCAGTCTCCAGGCAGAGAGGATCTCCAGACGAGGCTATATCGAAGGGTAGAGTCTCGTCTCGGGAAACAGCTACCCGACCCCGTTTTATACGTGGTCTACGGGGAATTTTTGGCCGAGCCTAAGGGCTCGGATACCCCACATTAAATTCGGCTTTCTGCCACATCTGACCGCGTGGGGCGGTTGATAGATATCCTGCAGTTGGAGATTCATTGTGGAATTCACTTTACTCACTTCTAGCAGTTGACTACTTCTACGCGCCGCTGGCGAATCTTATACGTGTTGTTCTTGTCTTAAGTATTACTGTTCATTACCAACCTTCGCTTGATTATTCTATTCAGTAACCTTTCCTAGGTTACAAAAGTCATTAATGATAAATTCTTTGTTCAACATTATTCCATTTGTTTTTATCGTCCTGCTGTATAAAGTTCTTGTTGTGGAGGTAGGCAGCACATTGATGTGCAAAAGTGCATGTCGACTGCACACTGTAAATGACCTGGTAGACTGCACGGTAAAGTGGCACCAAAAATTATTATAATCTGGCTTTAAATAACATGCAAAGGGTTGATAAACCTTAGAAAACAAATCAACCAACCAAAATATATGTCTTCTTCTACTTGAGCGAGAGCAGCACGCTAAAAAAGTAACTGTAGGGCAAAAATACACTTGCTCATCAAACTTAAAGGCGATAATCTTCATGACACCAGGACGTGTTTCTCCGCAACTACTTTCGCTCATTAACAGAAATGAACAGAAATCAATCACAGGTTAACTCGACTAGTTGTGGTCAGGATAACTGACGTAGAAAATCTGCGGAACTGAACGGGGTATTCTCTGTAGACCATTTTTTATTGCTTAAGACAAAATATTTACATGGCCACATCTATCCATTTCATTCCGAGTCCACAAAAAAACCTGCCTTACGTGGCATTAGTCGATTTATTATTATTGGTCTTTTTATGAGTTCTCTCTTATCGATCTTATGTCAGACTTTAACGATCAGCTGCGGTCAATTAATGACCATAGGTTCACACGTCTTTATTTATATTATTGGTTATTGACATTTCACTCATAAATAAGACGTGTTCTGAGTTTACTAGCAGCGGGTTTTTCTACCAAGATACCATTCCTATGTAGTTTAGTAAAGAAGACTAAAATGCTTTACCCCTATCCATGAGACATATGTGCTACATGGCTTTTGAACCTACAACGAGGTTCATCCGTTCTTTGACAGATTTAGCCCCCGTTCACGAAAAAACGGCTGGTTGTGCGTGGAAACAGTTAAGTCACTGATAACTTGATTCTACGGCAGGTATTCCTGGTTTATATTGTACCAATAGCACTCTTGTCTGCAAACATCCACTCGGAAAATGGTAGCCTTTAAGATAAGATGGCTCCTTTCTCTTTACATGAGATGCAGTCATAGTCTGGAAATGTCCTATTGGAAAATGGTACCTTTTGAGAAAATATGGTTCCTTTCTCTTTACATGAGATGCAGGCATAATCTGGAAATATCCACTCGGAATATGGTAGCCTTTGACATGAGATGGTTCCTTTCTCTTTACATGAGATGCAGTCATAATCTGGAAATATCCACTCGGAATATGGTAGCTTTTGACATGAGATGGTTCCTTTCTCTTTACCTGAAATGCAGTTAGAATCTTCAAATATCCACTCGGCAAATGGCACCTTCCTTTGTCATTACATGAAATGTAGTTAGTGTCTGGTAACCTATTCGAGGAATGTCGCCTTTGGAGAGAATTTCCCATTCGCTTTATGTAATGAGGTCGGTCTATTCTTGACCTCGTCGACATTATTATTCTTATAATTCCCTTTGAAATCCGAAAATGATTTTTTTTCAAAAGGATCGAATTTCAACAGGCACTAGAATACCTTCTCTTATCTTTTTAACGTCTTGCGAGTTTTAAAATAGTAAAAAGCTAGCATATACGACAGAAATATATGTGCTAGGAGAAATGTGATATATTAAGTGAAAACCTACGTGGAATTTTCAAAGTTAGAACAATTAAATTTTATATATTATCAACGTGTAATAATTATAGAAATATAATTTGTAAGTTGTTTTTCTTCGAAAATATTAAATGGTTTCGTGCGAGTAAGGCGTGTTAAGTTTCATTCTGTCTTGTTGGAATTAACTTACACTGATGCTTTTAATGGAATGTCTAATGCCGAATTGATAAATGACATTTTTACAGAGCAAAAATAATAAATAAATAAATTAAATTAAAATGATATTGCAGGTAAACTTTGAAACATGCAAGCACAATAACCAAAGAATTCTTAAAAAAATATTACAAATATGGATTTTCCTCTTAGTTTTGAGCATTTCACTGTATACAAATTGAAAAATATTCTCGAATTTTCGCAAAGTAAATGCTTCTACTTATTAAAAAATGCATTATATTAATTAAATTTTAATGTATACGTTTAATCCCAAAGTGCACCTTAATAATTTAATCTTTGTGGCTGCAGCAATTTTCATACATTGGTAACTTAGAATATTTCTGTCCGGATTTCAGAGTTGCAGAGTTACGATTTATTCAGACTGGCGTCCTCAGTTTTAATGTTATGGTCATAGAATCTTAACAGATTTTCAAATCACTTCTCTTCTTCTCTACCATGAAAGGGGAAAGAAAATATAAATCCACCTTAAAGGAAATCGAATGTGAATCAATGATAATTAATGACAAGATTTATCTTCGTCTTTAAAAATTTAAATATCTGGCAAGTGTTTTAACAGAGGACAAAAAGTGTGACACAGAAATCCGAAGTTGCATTGGGATAGCCAAAGATGTATTCCAAAAGCTAAGCAGAGTATTAAGAAATAGAAAAACTACGCTAGAAACAAGGAAAGGAGTACTATATTTTAACATGATATTTGACGTCCTGTATGGCAGTGAGTGTTGGACAATCTCGTTGAAAATGAAGAAGAGACTTGAAGCAAAAGAACTTTAGTTCTACAGAAGGATGCTGAGGGTACTATGGACCCAGCATGTGAGCAACGAGCAAGTTTTAGAGGAAATGGAAACAAAAAGGAAACTTATCCTGAACATCAGGAAGAGACAGTTGCACATAATGAGAAAAGAAGGCTTAGAAAAATTGAACCACATAGGACAGATTGAAGGCAAGATGGGCAGAGGAAAACAAAGCTTAACATACTTAGTTAGCTTGAGTAAATGGATGGCGGAACAGGGTTTAGGAGAGATAACAAAAAGATATCATTTATTACAAAATACAGGAAGTTGTAGAGAGCCATGACTGCCTACATCCTGAAGGGACACAGCACATAAATAAGAAGAATGAAAAATGAAAGACTCGTCAGTCATGTATCGAAAGTTACATGATCGCCTAAGCGTGTATCACATGACACATAACTGACTGACGATATCTACTAAAAATAAAGTTTGAAGAAATAAAAATATGTAGATTAAAAATAAAAAACAACAACATAATATTAATAATAATAATAAAAATATTATTAATAATAATAAGAAGAAAGATAAAGAAAGAACAAGAAGGTGATAACACTTTCATACGTTTAACGTCTGCTTCATTGAAATAGAAAACATTGCCAATTTTGAATTTTTCATTTGTACTCTCTTAACTGCATTCAGATTTATGATTATTTTCTAAGCGTAGCTTAGATGTAGCACAAGGTCGGAAGTATGAGGCACCCAATGAGGATTGAACTCACTACTGAGTCGTAAATTGATCTAGCGAGCCTAGCTTCTTGAACATTACACCATGTTGAAATGTCCCCTGGATTCATACTTATGATTGTTATTGCAATATTGTTAAGCTTAAATATTTAATGATGTAATAGGTTATTTTATAGTCGCATATCTAACATGGAGTTTATTCAGACATTAAATTAAAAATTAGGATTCATCAGAAAGTGAAAATAGGAAAACTGTGAATTTTTTTTATTCTTATCAATAATTCCTCACCTTCAAAATTTCAACATAAATTAACATATATTATTGATCGCTTCAACATTTTCATTCAAATTATAGATAAGCGAATCTCAGATAATGAATTGATATTTACGAAAAACATTAATGTTTCTAGGGAAAAGAAACAGCTTTTATATTTTTCGTATTTTTTTTCCTTTTAAAGTCTTTTTGACAGCAAATAAATGATGGGAGATGTTTTCCCCAAATATCTGGGGAGGAAAAAATAACTCTAGTTCTCTCTTTTCATAAAATCACTTTATTGTTAGATCAACCCCACCGCACCCCCCTCCAAAAAAAGGAAAAATAAAAAGATAACTTTTTAGGTTGACAAGCCAGACAATATCGCCAACAGACTGGCAAGAGATGATTCTTTCGTGAGCTATTTTTAGTAGTTTTGCCAAGTTCTCATCATTTTTTCTTAAAACTGATTGTCATTGCTGTTGGCTGGACAAAATCTTTGGTGTAAAAAGATTTTGCACATGTGCTATTTACTTGTCTACTGAAATATAAACATGTCTGGCAGAGAAATAAAAAAATCAAAAAAATCTATCGATCTTTTTTGGGGATGTGCAAAAGGGTTTCGAATTCATGCTGACGAATGAGGTTGACCTATCCGGAAATGATGTCGGCCGGAAGTCGTTTGTCCATTCAGCTTTCGGGCAGACAAAAACTGCCGGCCGTACCCACAAGCTAATTCTATCTATCTATCTATCTATCTATCTATCTATCTATCTATCTATCCCAATCTGTTCACATCTATCTATCTATCTATCTATCTATCTATCTATCTATCTATCTATCTATCTATGTTGTTGTTATTACAACGTTTCGGCCGTTGTACCCTCCTCTCATCAGGTGCTTGTCGACCCGGAAAGAAATTTTGAACTAAACACTTTATTCAATCTACCATCTAGTTCTTATCTTATTGCTTATTCTGTTTCCACTGATTCCAATTCCTCTAGGATTGAACTCGTTAATACTATGTCACCAAATTCACGAACGAAACACTTTAATCCAGATGACCGATACTGTACTTGAAAGATAGAATAAAACGAATTGCATTATTGTTATTTGATGCTCTTTTATTTTTGAAAAGGAGAAAACTATGCAAACATCAATAAAGATATTTGCCGTTGATGGTGGTGGTTCCATAGGTGTGAGTATTGTTCATAAGTTGTTCACTAGGTTCAAAAGTGGTCCCTACTGGTAGGGCTGCAGAAGAATCGCTGATTAAAAATAATTCAGGCTACACGACACGGGGCATCGCAGGTGATACTTCACATATCTCTTATGAGCGTTATAAAACATTTGAAAACGGATACGTGAATCGCCAGGATGTTTGCGCCCCTCACGATTTAACAGGAAAAAAAATATATTTTCATCAGCGATTCTCTTCTCAGACGACCCATGCTTGAAAAAAAAAAAAAAAAAAAAAACGATCACAGGCAATGTAGAATGGAGTGTTTACAACAATGGGGAGCGAAAATGGTACTAGGGTAAATGAAAGGAACCACCAGTTCAAAATTTGAAGAAGGTGCTGCTGTGTATTTGGTGCGATTAGAAAAGCATTGTGCATTACGAGCTTCTTCTGTAAAAACTGACGTCACACACAGACAAGGATCGTTCTCAATTGGCAAGATTAAAAGCAGAAATCGATGAAATGAATACAGGAATTGGTCAATCGGAAGAACGTCACTTTTTGTTGTATTGTTGACTTTGTTTAAAATAGCCGAGAAATAGGAAGGCCATAAAGAGAGTATCGAAGGAACTGAAGACTAGGTAAAGGAAACAAAGATGAAGAGGTTTATTAAATACTCATACATAGAACAGAAAAACTTGAGTAAATCAAATACTACTCAAATCCTACTCTAATGTGGCTACTTGCCATATTTATAAATAGGAGCAATCCATTGTCACAGAAGTAGGGTAGAGCTGGAGGTACGCCGAGTCCCACTCTGCAACAGTTTTCTTTCTTCTCACTCTTTTCATTGTTTTCTTTCTTTCTTTCTTTCTTTCTTTCTTTCTTTCTTTTCACGCTTTTCTTTGTCATTTTTCCTTCCTTCCTTTCTTTCTTTCTTTCTTTCTTTCTTTCTTTCTTTCTTCTCTCTCTTTTCTTTATCATTCTTTTTATTTCTTTCCTTTTTGTCTTTCTTCTCCCTTTGTGCTTTATAATTCTTTCATTTTTTTTCTTTTTTCTCCTATTTCTTCTCACGCTTTTGTTCATCATTTTTTCTTCGTTTTTCTTCTAATGTTGTCTTTCTTCAAAATAGCCGAGAATTAAGACGGTCGTAGTTATAGAGAGTATCGAAGGAACAGAAGACTAGGTAGAGGAAACAGAGAAGTTGTTTATGAAATACTCATAAATAGAACGGAAATACTTAAGTAAATGGAATACTACTCAAATCCTTCTCTAATGTGGTTATCTATTTATAGGTAGAAGCAATCTATTTTCACAGTAGTAGGGAAGGACCAGAAGTACACCGTGTCCAAATCTACAACAGTTTTAAACCAAACAACGTTAGGCGTCCTACCTCTCTGCAGATCAGGTAGAACTTGACTGGAATGTCCAACGACATCCATCATACTCACCTGATCTTATACTTCAGGATCACCAATTATTTCGATCCCTACTTACTGGGAAACGCTTCAATTCTCTGGAAATCTGTAAATATACTTAGACCAGTTCATTACATAGAAAGAGAAAGAAGAAAAATCACTGTATAAACATCTAAATATTTTCTTTGAAATTCACTTAAAATATTAACAAGAATGATTATAGCTATTGTTAATGTTGACTTAATAAAATTTATAAATAAGTCATTATGGTTATTTGTTTGTTGCATGTTATTTGTGTCTGTCATACTCTTAATATGACAAACGTATATCTTCCATGTGTCATTTCCCTTCAGGATGTAGATGATCATGTCTCTCCATAATTCCTATCCCTTGTTTTACGAGAGCGAGGGAAAGAAATATTTATTCTTCCCATTACATTTTCCTCGTTATGGCCATTGTTATATCCGTGATATAACAAGACTGTAGCTCACAGATAGGACGGAACGGAATGGCTGGAAGGAAAAAGAATGACAAACATGCTTTGTTCTCAGAGAGACTTTTATGTCACAAGACATACACAAAAACCATATATATATATATATATATATATATATATATATATATATATATATATATATATATATATATATATATATATATATATATACGCATGTCTCACGTGGAGAACTATATATCATATATGTCTACATAACTAAGCAAAGTGTTAGGAGGAACAGAAGGAGAGGTATTACATATAATTTGAAGATATTCCTGACCTGACATGAGGAAGGCCGAAACCTTATGATAAAGATGAAGACAATAAATAGTGTAAATAATATAATTCCTCATCTCAAAAGTCCAGAGAAAATATTTTTGCCCCTGTTTTATCTCAGCATTCACAAACAAATGCATTTGCTAAAGAAATGTCACATGTTTTACTTAAGTAATTAATTTACGGTACATCAACCTTAATGGGTTGACAAAACTTTTTAGGATAGGTTCGCATATATATATATATATATATATATATATATATATATATATATATATATATATATATATATGATTACCAGCAATACATTTGACTCTCGACAAAACCCTCTTTAGAAAAATGCGTCAATAATTGTCGAGAGTCAAATGTATTGCTGGCAATCATGTATTTCTGATACTTGTAGTGTTTTGACGCCAGTTTGAGGTTTAACATGTGCTACCAAGGCGGACCTGTGAACAACAGCAATTAAGAGATGGTTCCATGCTCCTGAAAACCTCCCGAACAGAAGCCTTGCTGCCGGATGTAGTTTATCGTCATACCCAGAATGATTCCATAACCCCTATCGCATGTAGCTCTAAGTATCATTTTCCTTCTTATCCATTCATACCCACAAAAATCAACAGGTAGGTGGCCAGCTGTCTTCCTCTGTCCTTTTGGCCATTGACACGTCCTGTGAGTGTCACATTCTCCAAGCTCTCCTTCCTCATTATGTTTCGGAGAAATTTAATTGTTGTATCCTTAAAGAGGTTAAAAAACATACAAAGGTGGTACTCGAGTGAAGGAACAGCAACATGCACGCAGATGAAAGAAGAGAGGTTTATTGTAAAAGAGAATACACTACTGAAAGACAGGGAATCGGGTGGCAGGCTAGTAATTCCCGAAGCAAGCCCCCAGGTATATCCTGTACTCACCATATATAGCTTCTGCTATGTATTTAGAGATTCTAGATAAAATAAAAAGATATGCATCTCGGCGTCACTCACTTTCGTACCGCCGTAACATATCCTCCATTTATCTTTTCTATAAACATTTTCAGTACATATGGGGACTAGTTAGAACTTTATAGAGACTTAGAGGTATTATGGTGAGTGTAGTAAGAATGCGTTGTTTTGGTGTAAGGAATTACATAGTATGTTTTGGTCAGTAATTGTGTCTAATTGTAAGACAGAAGAAGACAAGCCGTCTGATCCCTCCTTTTGGCCTTGTACCATATTTCTGTATTATCAAAGAATAAATATCACTTTCCTCTTTGGTACCTAGAATTTGTGGATTTAAGTGCAGTAGTAAGATTGGCGGCTAGGTCTCATCTTTTTACAGTTGAAATTGCTAGATGTAATCTTAAGATCTATGTAAACAATTTTCTTCACTCGCACCTCTCGTTTGTGGAACTCGCTTCCGGTTTCTCGCTTTCCAAACAACATTGATATTCTGTTTTCTTAATTCCTGTTCTTTTACTTTTCTCTCTCCTTAATAATGTTTTCTTTTTCGCATATTCTCTCATACCCAGTAACCCCTTACGTCACAGTGGCGTTATTGCTGTGCTCGGGGTGAAATGATTAAACACACACACACACACACACACACAAACACACACACACACACACACACACACATATATATATATATATATATATATATATATAAAATCAGAAATGACTAATCTATTATTGATTTACACTTAGTTATTCTTCCATCAAAATCATTGTTTTAACTAATATAGTCAATAAAAAATATCACACTGAATTTCTCGAGTTGTAATAAAAAAAAGTAAAGGGATGAAATGTAAAAAAGAAATTTACCAAGATCATCTAAAAAAGCATTTCTAACATGATTTCATTCATTTGTGAATAAGTCCTGAAAATGTGACAAAATTTGATTTTTGCAAGAATTTCCAAATTAATGTCTGTCATCGCAAAAAGACGCTAAAATTTTCCCTGTTAATTTATAATACTTCCAAAATGAAAATTTCGAATGGTCTAAAAAGGATTAAAAATTAATTAAATATTAAAAAAAATTACTTTGATCCTTCCCCTTAATGATAACAAAGATTTCGATGATTTAACTGTATTTTCATTAAGTTTATTCTATTTTTTTGCATCACGGTATTCGCATTTTTAACGATTTTGTGGAGGTACCTATTTAAAAGTAATGATTAAGCGGAAACTTGATTAAAATTCTTACTACTTGCTCGAATGACGGTTGGTTTGCGGGTGGGTACATGTGCGTAAAAATGTCATGACATCATGACATGTTACACTTTATGTATCACATTGTGACATGATGTGACAAGATCTTGTCACAATTCCCTTTCTCTCTAACTGTTCAAAATGTTAGCATGGTTTCTCCACTCACATTTCCTTAACATTTGCTTCCTTCTCCTGTTTTTAGCACCCTGTATATCAAGAAATTAGTACTTGTTCACACACACATATATATATATATAATGGATGTGTGAATGTGTGTGTATATATGTGTATACACACATATATACATATACACAAATATGTACACATATTGGCTGCATAATATATATATATATATATAATATATATATAATACATATGAAGAAAAATATGGAAAAACAAGAATCCAAATATGCAAGTATGCTGTTTTAATGTTGTTTCAATGTCGACGTCAAACGTTTCGGTCTAGTAGATCTTCTTCAGGACATGGTTATTAAAACATAATTAAAATTAGACGATATTCAAGTCAACATGAAAAGACGATAGACATAAGACTAATCAAAACAGAATAACTGAAATTTTTCATGTTGACTTGAATATCGTCTAATTTTAATTATGTTTTAATAACCATGTCCTGAAGAAGGTCTACTAGACCGAAACGTCTGACGTCGACATTGAAACAACATTAAAACAGCATACTAGCATATTTGGATTTTTGTTTTTCCATATTTTCTTCATACTGTCGGATCTATATCAACATATTTGCTAAAATAATATATATATATATATATATATATATATATATATATATATATATATATATATATATGTGTGTGTGTGTGTGTGTGTGTGTGTGTATTTAGGCAGCAAATTCTCTTTTAGGCATGTCTGATTGAATAAATTACAAAAGATTATGCCTGCTTATATTTTATGATAATCTTTTCATATTCACGAATATTTTTCTGTATATTACAATTAAATAAAGAAAAAATGCACTGTAACAAATAGAAAGTACTTGGGAATTAAAAGTGAGTCTCACTGCTACAGTGCATTTCTTGCCTTACTTAATTGTAATATACGGAAAAATATTTGTGAATATGAAAGGATTATGATAAAAATAAGCAAGCATAATCTTTGTAATTTATTCAATCAGACACACACACACACACACACACACACACACACACATATATATATATATGAAATAAGTAAGCGAGAAAGAGAAATAATGTGTGTGAGTGTGTGTGTGTGTGTGTGTGTGTGTGTGTGTGTGTGAGAGAGAGAGAGAGAGAAAAAAAAAAAAAAACAAATTCATTTAACGTTACAATCAATTCACAGCTCCATTTTTCTGCTTTGATTAACACCAATTTTACCCGTCCGTATAAAATTAAAAATAAAATACATTGAAATAAAAGACCTCGAATAAATATGGCTTAAATCTGAGGCAAAGATCGAAAAGAAATTAGCAATTAAAAAATTGCGCATGCGTAGTGCAGGCCGCAACAATGGCGCTTCGTAACGCTTCGTAGGCATTGCGTCTAATATAAACACAGCCTTGTTTTTGTCGTTCGTTCATCCGTTTTGTTTTTTCATTTGTAATATGGCGCCCTGGATTGTTTTGCCATCAAATCTCAGATGATCGGATAAAGATAATTGGAGACGATTCCATTTGAATTGATTGTTAAAGAAACGATGGCCCGTAGTTACAATGAACAACTTATAATTACAAAATAGAACAAAGTACGATTTAGCGCGTTTGTATTTTTCTATCTATTATAAAAAACATTTTTAGTGTATATATTTGCTAACATCCTTCATATTTTTATTTACTTTCTTTCTTTCATCTTTATTTTTATTTTAATCTTTCACTTTTCACTTTCTTCTTTTTCTCGTGGTTTCAGTTTGTTTCTTTTTTTTGCTTTAAAGCAGTTTATATTTCTTTTCTGTATATTCGTTTCTTTCTTTTTCATTTTTCATGCGAGTATTATGCCATGATTTATTATGTTGCATTTTACTTTCTTTTAAAAGATTTCATTCATTCTTTGTTTCTTGTATTTTAGTCTACAATTTTCATTTTGTTTTTTATTCTTTCTTTTTGATTATCGTATCGCAATTCATTTCTTTACTTCTTTCTTTTTGTAGGCCGTCTCTATTCATTTTTCTATAATTTGTTTTCTTTTTCAAATTTATTCTTTCTATTTTTCATATTGCTTTTATTCCATCTTTCTTTTATCCTACATGCTTTCCGATTCTTTCTTTCTTTCTTTGTTGTAGATTTTCTTTTCATTCATTTTTCATTTTTCCTTTGTTTCTCTTTTTCTTTTTCTTTTATTCTTTCTCTTTTTTCATTTTCTTTTTTATTCTATCACTCTCTTTTATTAGGCTCTGTTAGTATTTTCCTTTCAGTGACTTACTTACATCCATTCTTTCTTTCTTTCTTTCTTTCTTTTTTCTTTCTTTCTTTCTTTCTTTCATTCTTTTTTTTCTTTTATTTTCAGATTGTTTCTTTTCGTTCATCTTTCATTGTTATTTTTTAAATCCCCGTACGAATGAACGTGTTTTTCTCAATTTTCTTTCTTTTCTTATTTTTAATTAAATATCATATAACATATTCAAAAGCAACTGTTCTTTGAAGTACCATTTTTAACTTCTATTAGAATACTTATCTATCTATCTATCTATCTATCTATATCTATCTATCTATCTATCTATCTATCTCATTTTGTTTATATCTATCTGACTCAGGAAATTCATATCTATCTATCTATCTATCTATCTATCTATATATATATGTTGGGTCAGTTTTATATATATTTATCTTTTACTTTGTCATTATAGTATCCATATTCTACTTATATATATATATATATATATATATATATATATATATATATATATATACACACATATATATGCATATACATATGTGTATATATAATTTCTATGTATATTATATGTGCGCGGTACTTATTCGAAAGCGGTCAATATCAGTGATAGAGCTAACATATTCAGTTATGGAAACGAGTTTGTGTGTGTGTTTGGTTGTGTATGTGTGTGTGTGTGTGTGTGTGTGTGTGTGTGTGTGTACATTTATGTACGTATGTGTTTGTATGTACGTGTGTGTGTGTTTGTTCAATATATGTATATGAGCGCGTGGCCGAGTGCTTAGAACGTTTACTTTCCGGCCATGAGACTTTTGTTCGTATCTCCTAAGGTCAGTTTTCCAGGAAGGTCTCTGAAACCCTACCCCAGGGGTTGATCCCAACCTTGCGACTGAAAGTAGACAGGCAGAAATGTTCCGAAGCTTTTGATCATTTTGCTAGAAGTCACAAGCAATCGTGACCGAGATTTGAGCGTACTGGCGTTGTTCATGACAGATTACGTACTCTCTCCCGGAAACTAAGGTCTGCTATCCATAGTTGGAGTATAAACCACGGATGGGCTCTGTGGTTGTTGAATAAAAAAAAAAAAAAGTGCATTCACGCCTCTCTCTTTTCATTCGATATCTCAGGTGGATGTCAAATTTTACAAAGGCTATACCCTTCCTCATGTGTCCAGGAAATTTCAATTGTTACTTCCTCATTTTTAGCATGTGTGTTTTTTTGTTTCCATTTTCCTTAAAAGTTATATTCTGCTTACGTGATCCCTACATGGTGTCCTCAGCATCCTTCTGTAGAACACATTTCTGCTGCCTCCAGTCTTCTATTTATCTGCGAGGAAATTAACTAGCAATCACTTCAGCTCTCTTCGCTTTGTTTTTATTGAAATTTATTGTTTCTTAATACTTTGCTTAGCTTTAGGAAAGCAACGTTTGTTGTTCCAATGCGACTTCTTTTTGCGATGTTGCATTTTCTGTTAAAATACTTTAATACACTTCCCAAATAGTTAATCTTATGTACTTGTTTGATTTTGGCATCTTCTGTTTATAGGTCGCATCTTTTTTTAAAGAAATGCAAGAAAGAAAACTACTAAATATCAATGGCAAGAAGACAGAATGAATGGTTGTTAGCACAAGGGACAGTTCAACATGGAAAATTACAAACTGGGGATGCCAAAATACCATAATTGAAATATCAGGGAAAGGTTTTAACAAAGGATGGAAAGTGCGACAATGAAATGCGAAAGCGCATTGGGATAGCGAAATATGCCTTCTAAAAGCCAAGAAAAGTATTAAGAGAAAGAAAATTTTCATTAGGAACAAAGAGTACTGAACTATTACGTAATATCTATCAGTCTTCCTATATGATGATGAATACTAGACAATCTCCTCACAGATGAAGAAGAGATTTGAAGCAACAGAAATGTGCTTCTATAGAAGCGCTGTAATGTCCCACATTCCCTATCGTCTTATGTGGACTGACAATATCAGTAGCTATATATAGTGAGAACAGGATATGCCTGGGGCTTGCTTCGGCAATTGGTTGGAGATTCGTCTCCAGCTAAGCTGGTCGAACTCTTTGCCTTTGGGCTGAGAGGAACCCAGATGAGACTATGGTCTCGTCTCGTCTGGGGTGGAAGACAGCTACCCGGCTCCATTGTAGCGGGGTCTACGGGCAGTTTTTGCCCGAGCTTACGGGCTCGGTTTTTCCCCGCATTAAAAAAACGGCGGTGTGCCACATCCTGTCTCGCGGGAAGGTAAGGTAAATGACCTTGCTTCGGCACTTGGAGATTCGTCTCCTGCTGCGCTATTCAAACCATCTGCCTTCGGACAGAGAGAAACCCAGACGAGGCTATACTGATAGGCAGAGTCTCATCTGGGGTGGTAGACAGCTACTCGACTCCGAGGACATAACGAAGGGCAGAGTCTCTGATCGGGAAACAGCTACTCGACCCCGTTTTCTGCGGGAAATTTTTAACCGAGCGTACGGGCTCGGATACCCCACATTAAATTCGGCCTTGGGCCACATCTGACCACGTGAGGTAGTTGGTAGATATCCTTGCTTTGGCAATTAGTTGGAGATTTGTCTCAAGCTGTGCTGGTCAAACTCTCTGCCTCTGGGCAGAGAGGATCCCCATATGAGGCTATGTCGACAAGCAGAGTCTCATTTCTGGAAACAGCTACACGATCCCGTTTTATACCTCGTCTACAGGGAATTTTTAGCCGAGCCTACGGGCTCGGATACCCCACATTAAATTCGGTCTAAAGCCATATCTGACCTCGTGGGGTGGTTGGTAAATATTCTTGCTTCAGGAATTACTTGCCTGCCACTAGATTCCCTGTCTTTCAGAAGTGTATTCTTTTCCACAATAAACCTCTCTTTCTTTCATCTACGCGCGTGTTGCTGTTCCTTCACTCGAGTACAACCTTTGTATGTTTGTAACCTCTTTAAGGATACAAGAAGGATGCTGAGACATCATGGACCGAACATTTGAGCCACAAGGAAGTTCTAGAGAAAATAGAAACAAAAGGGAAACTTATACTTAACATCAGGAAGAAACAATTGAAATTTCTAGGACACATAATGAGGAAAGATGGCATGAAAAATTTGATACTCACAGGACAGATTGAAGGCAAGCTGGACAGTGAAAAGCAACACATAACCTACCTAGCGAGCTTGATGGATGGCGGAACATGGTTTAGGAGAGATAACAAAAGGCAACATTTATTTAGAGCTACGAATGACAGAAAATAGCGGAGAGCCATGATTGCCATCTTTCCGAAGGTACACGGCACATAGTATAAAAAGAAGTCTCGCCTTTTCTTCTAGCTTTCCTTCACTACATTGTCTAGATGTAGTTTTCCTTCTGCGTCTGTCATAAAGTGTTATCTATGTATATTATATTGCTAAAATCACTTCCACCGATAATAATCCCGCCATCTCCTTTGGGATTGCCTCGCTGCAGAGGTTGAAATACATTTGGTGGGAAGACACATCCTTGTCTTATGTACCCTTTCTGTTTTTGTGTACCTATTCAACTCATTTTTTTATCCCTATGATGGCGGTTTGCTTCCAATATAAGTTCTGGATTATTCTAATATCTTTGCGAATTACGTCTAGTTTTCCTTACCATTCAACTAGATGTTGGTGCCACACCATATCTAAAGATAATCGCAATAATAGCTTTATCCGTTTCCCTATGAGGAAATATTTGGCATTTATTGATCGAACACCTAGTATTGCTTTCGGTTGAATTTTGTTAAAATCTTGCACGCAAACAATATTTTTTTTAAGAAAGTAGGATTTTCAAGTCCAGTAGCTCTTCCAGGATTTGGTTTGGTTTGGTTTGGTTTAGTTTGGTTTGGTTTGGTTTGGTTTACGGCATATCATCCTCGATAGGTTATTTAATGCCGACAAAATTTTTTATTGCTGGTAATATTTTTTTTCCAAAAATGTATTTCTGATAATATATTTTTTTCTTCAAAAACATATCGCTGGTAATATTTTTTTTTCAAAAATGTATAGCTAGTAGTATATTTTTTCAAAAAAGTATTGCTGGTAATATTTTTTTTTCAAAAATGTATAGTTGGTAATATTATTTTTTTCAAAAAAGTATTGCTGGTAATATTTTTTTTCAAAAATGTATAACTGGTAATAATTTTTTTTCAAAAAAGTATTGCTGGTAATATTTTTTTTTCAAAAATGTATAGCTCGTAATAGTTTTTTTTTTCATAAAAGTATTATTGGTAATATTTTTTTCAAAAAAGTATTGCTGATAATAATATTTTACAAAGTATTTCTGGTATTAAAACCTATTTTTACACTTTAACAGTGTTTTGATCTCATTAAGACATAAAAAGAAACAGAAAACGCAAAAAATATGAATATACCTTTGTAATTCAGTAATAAACTCGAGTTAGCTTGACTAGACTGAGTCAATGGCTTCTGTTCGAAAGGTCTAAGCCGGTCGTGTCCGACTTGCATGTTTCCCAGCAGAAGAAAACGTTGTAATAATTGTTACTGAAGCAGGCTAGTATGTTATGATTTTAAATAACATCTCCTTCATTAATAAATATTTATCTCATTTTAAGTATTTTTACTATAAATTAAATAGAATTTATCTATATTTTTAATAAATACATTTCATTGGAATATTTTCAACAGAAAGTAATTCATACTACTAATTATTATTTACCAGACAAACTAAAGATGCTTTCAAAAACTAAAATTTTAAGAAACAGGACAATTGAATTAAAAACAAAGTGTTCTGACCAGCTATGTAATGTAAATTCTTCTGTGAATACTGGACAATTTCTTCACAGATGACGAGGACACTTGAGGCAATAGATATATTGTTCTATAGAAGTTTCCTGGGAATACCATGGACAGATCCTGTAATAAACGAGGAGGTTTTAAGGAAAATTTAGACAACTTCTACTTAGAATCCGAAAGAAACGGTTGAAATTTCAACGACATTTAATGAGAAAAGTGGGCTTGGAGAATTTGCCACCCACAGGATATACTGAAGGAAAACGGAAGAAAGGGAAACATCGAGTAGTCTATATAAGAATTGATGCCAAAACAGAAAGGGATAGTAAAAAGACAAAAAATGTTCAGAGCTATAAAGAAGAGGGAGTTGTGGAGAGCCATAATCATCTATTTTCAAAAGCGTATAAAGCGTGATTTTTATCTATTTTCATATGAGGGTCTCTGTGTATGTTTGCGTGTGTATGTGTTTGTTTCAGTGTGCGGCAGTATTTGTGTTTTGTATTGTGTATATTTGAGGGTGTATATGTGTGTGTCTTCGTTTTTGTGCGTGTGTATATGCTTTTCATGTATATTTGTGTATGCTTGTGTCAGTTTCTTTTGTGTGTGTATGTGTAATTTTGTGTATGTGTTCCCTGCCAATGTGTGCTTGGATGTATGTAAAGCTGTGAGTTATGGTCATGTATTTGTGTTTGTATGTGTTCGTCTGTGTATGAGTTTTTAAGTATGTGTAAGTGTGTAGTTGTATCGCTGTGGTTTTTTGCATGTTTACTTGTGCTTGTCACAGTTTTGCTTGTGTGTATGTGTTTTTTTCCAGTTTATCTTTGTGTATATATGTGGGTGTGGGTTATGTCTGTGCATGAGTTATTTTTGTGCGTGTGGGAATATGTGTGTGTGTGTGAGTGGCTTTTATGTCATGTGCGTGTGTATGCGTGCATATACCTGTGTTTGTCTCAGCGTGTTTGTATGTCTGTGTTTGTGCTTGTGTGTGTCAGCGTGTTTTGAGTGTGTGTGTTTTGATCAGGAAATCATCTTAAATCCTAAAGCGGGGATTTTCGGCGCGGAAGATTTGAGTTTTGGACTGAAACGCTTTTATCGCCACGGATTCGCATGGATGACCAACTTTCTGCCTCGATTGGGCTACAGATTCAGGCGCGGCCATTAATAATCCATCAGGCGCCCGGGAGGTACAAATAAAAACTGGGAGGGAAGTGAGGCTGAGAAGAAGGAGAAAAACAATGAAAAGACACAGGGAGGGGGAGAAAAAATGAAGAAGAAGCTGAGATAGAGAAAATGAAGCAAAAAAAGAAAGAGGAGGACTTGTAAAAGAGGATGAGAGTCAGTGGGAGGAGAGAAAATAAGGAGAAAGAGGAAAGAGAAGAACAGAAATAGATAAGAAGAAAAAGAAGCAAAAAAAAAAATCAATTTAAAAAGGCAAAAGAGTAGAAAAAGAAAAGAGAAATGAAGGAAGAAGAAAGAAAAGAAGAGGCTGGAAATTAGAGAGAGAGAGAAAAAATAAGAAAAGATGAAAGAAGTGGAATAAACATTAAACAGTAGGTCTTTGTGATATGGCAAAAGAACGCGTCATTGTTACATGGCGTCTAATGAAGGCAGAGCACATAATCTTGTCACACGATTTTAAGTCCCAGGATATATTCTTCCATTTACGACTCGAGGCTTTCTTTATTGTCTCCGAATTTTCCATATTTATTTAAGGCTTTCTTTATTGCACCCAAACTTTCCATATTTCCTTTCATCAATATATTTTCAACTTACACATATGACTAAAATACCACCCATGATAAATTTCTGCCCTTAGATTTAAAAATTCTCTCATGCGAGTCTAGTGCCTTTCGTTTAAGATCATGTTTGGATCATTTGGCTTTAGTCGAGAAAACGATTAAGAAGAATGGTTGTACCAACGGATCAATCTGTAAAAAATTAAGTCATTCCAAAAAATTGAAACTACCAAGTCCTCACCCGGAAACTCTGAAAAAACAGTGCAACGTAAAGATGAGAGCGGTGTACATAACAACTGACAGATAGAATCGTGGCCATAACATTAGAATAAACATTGCAAAAATTCAGATTTTGAGGAAGGATTGTTTAGTCTTCGGTGTGGTTAGGATACTCAGAAGATATTGAGAAAGTTACTAGAATAATAATAATAATAATAATAATAATAATAATAATAATAATAATAATAACAAACACTGGTATGAACATCGGCCAGCGCCGGTTACAGAAATAGAAGATGTCACCATTCTATGGGACTATACCATCCACACAGACAGAAAAATTGAAGCAAATAGGCCGGACATTATTGTCAAAAACCAGAAAGAAAAAACTTGCCTACTAATTGATATGGCTTGTCCAGCGGATTGTAACATAGCAACCAAGGAATTTGAAAAACTATCAAAATACAAAGACCTGGAAATTGAAATAGAAAAAATGTGGAAATTGAAAACAAGAATAATACCAGTGGTAATAGGTGCACTTGGAATTATAAAAAATGGAACAAAACAACACATTGAAAGAATCCTGAAACCCCAGCTTAAGAGACATAGAGAAAATTGTCTTATTAAGTACAGCACACACACTAAGGAGAACTTTGTCTATGTAACGCTAGCAACTTCATCGGAAAAAAAAAAAAAAAAAAAAATTAAATTAACATGAAATGTGGCCATAACAACACACCACGACCTGCCTTAGGGTCTTTCCGCAGACTTGGTAGGTAGTGTGTCCATAGCAGAAATCGAATGATGATGATGATGACAATAATAATAATAAAACCGTATAATAAATATAAATGTGTTTTACTTATATATTTCATGTCCCATCTGTTTTGAGAAGTGGGTTGGTAATTCATCTTAATTTAGTAAATTTATAATTGATTGCTCCCATTACTCGTTTTAATAGGCGATACAAATAAAATATATATATGCATTTAGACAAAATTAGTTACTGAGCAAAACAAATCTTAGTTCCTTTATCCTACGTTTCTTAGATTATAGCCTTATTTGTTCAAGCTTTTCATGTGAGGCATTCAGATATTAATGTCTATTAAGTGATCGTCTGACTTCAACTTGAAATAAACTTTGTCGCCGCCGTCTTTTTTGTTCTGCTGTTAATCTTTTTCTTCCGAAAGATATTTCCATCTCACTATTATATTAAACACATAAATTTTTTTAACATGAAAAAATATGGAGCAAAAAGCGATTTCTATAATACCAGGAGTAATCAGTGAATCATAGTCACCAGCGAACGTCTAAAAATATAAAGGGAACGGATGAAATAAACGGTTCACTGGACTCTATTTTAATTGTGAATACTTTACCTCCACTTTATTGAATCTCGATATATTGTTTCCAGAATTTTGTTTTATTGCATCTAATTTTCTAACAATTGCCGTCATTTTTGACGACATGGGTACAGTAGTATTAGTGGTAGTAGTTTTGTACAAAGGTTTTATTCTTGCTGCACAGAACCAATGCTTACTAACTATAAATTACCAAGCAAACATACTGAAAAATTGTGTTAGTCCAAAATGCAGATTCTGTGATAAATATCCAGAAACAATTGACTATCTTATATCAGGTCGCACGGTATTGGCACCCACTGAATATAAAACACGGCATGACAGAGTGGGCCAATATCTGCATTGGAAAATCTGCAACTCTTACGGAAAGGAAACTGCAGGAAATTGGTATGAACACCACCCAGACCCGGTTGCAGACATGGGATGTGTAACAATTTTATGGGAGTTTGCAGTACACGCAGACAGTACAATCAAAGATAATCGCCCAGACATCAAAGATCAAAGACCACAAGAACAGAATGTGTTTTCTTATTAACATGGCGTTCCCTGCAGACTGTAATGTATCTATGAAGATCTCCAAAATCTATCAAAATACAAGGATCTTGAAGTGGAAAGCTCAAAAATCATGGCACATAAAAACATCAATAGTTCCAATTATGTTTCCAGTCCTCGGATTGATTGGAAAAAGTTTTCAATAGACTCATTGAAGGGATACCTGGTAGCCCATGCCTTAAAGAAATAACAAAAGTTGTTTTCAAAGGTACAGCTTACACCTTACGATAACGCGTGAGATATTAGGCTGTTTTATTTTTATTACAAAAGTGCCCAGTGGAAAATGTTATGATGCCATTTCTGACCTTAGTTTTCTGGTTGGGAACCGGAAGGAAATGAGTAAGAGGAAATACTACAACTACTACAAACTGTTAATAATAATAATAATAATAATAATAACTGTATTACTACGTCACGTGTTTGCGTGCTGCTCTCTCACGCAATAGTATTGATAAGAACAGAAGGTTCCATCAATGGCCGGTGCCGAAGAAATGTGGGTAACAAAGATTCCGCATAATCTTTAAATTGCACAAAAATGTACTAAAAATTGGACTCTGAAAACAGAAGAGCTTATGGTGTAGCATTATTGTACAGGCGATATTCACATAAATACAGTAGTAAATACTTTTATGTTGGTCTGCAGTTAGAAATTCGTCTCCAGCTGTGCTGATCAAACTTTCTGCCTCTGGGCAGAGAGGATCCCCAGACGAGGCTATGTCGAAGGGCAGAGTATCGTCTTGAGAAACAGCTACCCGAACCCCCTTTTTATACTGGGTCTATGGGAAATATTTGGCCGAGCCTACGGGCTCGGATATCCTGCATTAAATTCGGACTTGTGCCACATCTGACCGCGTTTGGTAGACATTCTGCAGTTGCAAATTTGCTCAACCTGTGCTGGTCAAACTCTCTGCATTCGGGCAGAGAGGATCCTTAGACGAGGCTGTGTCGAAGGGCAGAGTGTCGTCTCGGGAAATAGCTACCCGACCGCGTTTTATACGCCGTGTACGACGAATTTTTAGCCGAGCCTACGGTCTCAGATACCCCACGTTAAATTCGGCCTTCCTCGAATTCCAGTCGAATCCATTACATTCACATAATACCCTTGGGAAAGGTATGAGTGGAGACATAGTGGATAGCGGCTCGTGTTGAAGAATCGGAGAGCCGAGTTCGAATTCCAGTCAAATCCATTACATTCACTTACGTGCTAATACCCCTGGGAAAGGCATGAATACTCTTCTTCCCCTAGATTTGGGTAAATAGCAAGACAGTCTGTGTTCTATAGCAATTTAATTTCAACTCCCAGGTCGTTTTTCTATTCTACAACCGACCGAGTATATATTTTCCATTTCGGTTATAGAATTGAAAAACGGCCTGGGAGCTGAAATTAAAAGCATCAGGACTTGTACTAACAAATTTATAATAATGAAGTAGCCACATCTAAGGAAATCAAATCTATCTATCTATCTATCTATCTATCTATCTATCACAATCTTTTCCTTATCTATCTATCTATCTATCTATCTATCTATCTATCTATCTATCTGTTCCTTATCTATCTATCACAATCTGTTCCTTATCTATCTATCTATCTATCTATCTATCTATCTATCTATCTATCTATCTATCTATCTATCTGTTCCTTTATCTATCTATCACAATCTGTTCCTTATCTATCTATCTATCTATCTATCTATCTATCACAATCTGTTCCCTATCTATCTATCTATCTATCTATCTATCTATCTATCTCAATCTGTTCCTTATCTATCTATCACAATCTGTTCCTTATCTATCTATCTATCTATCTATCTATCTATCTATCTATCTATGTATCTATCTATCTGTTCCTTATCTATCTATCACAATCTGTTCCTTATCTATCTATCTATCTATCTATCTATCTATCTATCACAATCTGTTCCTTATCTATCTATCTATCTATCTATCTATCTATCTATCTATCTATCTATGTGATGTCTATTCATTTCTCTCTTATGATCTTTCTCTTTATCTATGTATCAGTCTGTTCATATTTATCTATCAACGTGAGTTCAATATATGAGTGCCTACGTACTCCATAAAGAATTGTTGGAACGGCTAGGTAAACTTGATATATTTAGGGAGAATATTAGACTAATCTAGAACTTATAATAGAAGCAGATCGCCTCCATACGGATAGAAAATTAATTTAGTATTAATCATCTGAGAGAATCCTTTTTTTATGCCTTCGATCAGCATGGCTGATGCTTACTTCCAGGAGAGTAACTCGTTGTGCCTTCTTGGGTGGACATAAAATTGAATGACTATATTGAATTTATTAATAGGTCAGCTGCTAAAAAGTCTTTTCACTGTGTCGTGCTAGAAAATTTTTCACTCTAGAATTTATCTTACATACCTATAAGCTTACCATTTGTCCATGCTTAGAATGTTGCTGCAACATATGGTCCGTTTCTCTTAAAATTTAGAAATTTTGGATAAAATTCAAAGAAGAATCAGCAATATTATTGGTCCTGATCTGTCGTCTCGGCTTTAGTCATTTTCTTACCACTGTAAGGTTGCTTCCCTGTGCCTTTTGTATAAATACTTTCATGGTAATTTTTCGGATGAGCTCTTCGCTATGGTACCTAGACTTTATGAATTTAATTGTAGTACTAGATTGACAATAAGGTTTCATTAATATGTAGTTAAATTGGTGAGATGTAACTGTAAGTTCTACGCTAATAGTTGAGCACTTCTTTTGAAAAAAAAAAAACAGACCAGACGTGACAGCGAATTTAAACACAGTAGTAGATTAGCAGCAAGGTCTCGCCAATTTACTGTTTTGTAAGTTCTATGCTAACAGTTTCATTTCCTACACTTCTCGCTTGTGAACTTCCTTCTGGGTCCATTGTGGCACCATTTCCCGAGGCAAAAAGAAAAGAAAGGAAAGAGAGGAAGGAAAGAAAGGAAAAGAGAGGCGAGACCCAAACGTGGATGATAAGTAGGACACCCACGACTATGGATAAAGGATATTTTGATAAGTAGCAAATGGCAAAAACTGTCATTACAATGGCAGAAAAATTCTAAGTGGATAAAGGAATCGTTGTGTTCTGGCGACGAGCTGTGTTATCGGGGATACATAAACAAACCGCTAATGCGGGAAAACACCTGATTAAGCAAACCACAGACCGACTAGCCAAAGAAAAATCCAATTGAAAATGTTATTTTGATAATTGACAAAAAACAAGTGAACTACAGGGATTGATTTCGTCTGCCTAAGATCGATTCACAACGTGGGTGGGTGGAGTGGAGATCAACGCAGTTACTTTGGTAACCAGGCGTTGGAAGCGAGTTGGGAACGACGAGGCTGACATCGAATCTAACCAGATTCCCATCCGAATCACCAAAAGGTTAGAACGTCACATTTGGGTGCCGGGACCGATACCAAGCCAGTTGGTCGTCACAGGACGAGACAACACGACTGACGCGACAGGCGGACGTCACGTTTGGAGCGGCGACACCCGAACGAAGCAGCGAGGAGCGAGCGAAGGCTGTGTTTAGGGACGTCACACCATGCTTTCCAGACAATTTTGATCTTTAAATATTAATATCAATATCAATTCTTTTTCTACTGTCCTCCTGATTACTCTTCTATTGTTCTCTTTCTTTATTATTTCTTTGTTTAATTCTTTCATGTCCAGTAACTCCTTGTATCTTTACTGCCTTGTTTGGGGGTAAATTCAATTAAAAATATATATACAGAAATAGAAAGGGGTGTAAGACAAGGATGTGTCTTCTCACCGGATTTATTCACTCTTTATAATGACGCAATTCTGATAGCATTACAAATGCTGCCAGGATTCATTATTGGCGATCTAGTAAGGGAAAGCGAAAAAACAAAAAACAAAAAAACAAAAAAACAAATTAAAATAAATTCTAAGACAGACTGTATGCTTTTCAGCAAAATCAAGAGCTCAACATTAATATTACAATTTGGAAACACCAATAATTAAATAATTACAAAAATTAATTATCTAGAAAGTGATTTCACCGAGGATGGAAAGTGTGACACTGAAATCCGAAGAAGATACGAAAATCAAACTAGTATAGTAATTTCAATACCTTAGAAGCGGTACTGAAATCCGAAGGCACAATGGATAGCGAAATATGCCTTCCAAAAGCCAAGAAAATTATTAAGAAACAGGAAAATGTCGTTAGAAACAAACAATAGAGTACTGAACTCTTATTTAATATCGGTCCTCCTATATGCCAATGAATGCTGGACAATTTTCTCGGTGGAACAAGAGATTTGAGGTAACAGAGATGTGGTCCTACAGCAGGATGCTGAGGATACCACGGAATGAATGTGTGAGTAAAGACGAAATTTAAAGAAAAATGGAAACAAATATGACGCTTACAGTTAACATCAGAAAGAGAAATGTGAAATTTCTAAGGTGCATAATGAGGAAAGAGGGCCTAGAAAATTTGACACTCACAGGGCACATTGAAAACAAGAGGGTCAGATGAAAACAGCGCATAGTCTTCTTAATGATTGGCAGAAAATGGATTAGAAGAGACAGAAAAAAGAAAAAAAAATTACTAAGTGTTGAAAAGAGCAGAAAATGGCGGATAACATTGATCGCACACGTCATAGAAGTACAGTTGAACAATAATGTTAATTTGTTTTTACGTTAAACTGACCAACGAACAATCATGCTAAATCAAACTTAGAACTCTTTTTCTGAAATTTCATTTTTCCAAAAGCTACGGCCTTTTTATTTCATTAACTGCGTTATTTGTGCAGTGGCAGTGAAGACCTGCTATTTTTCCCCGCGGCATTCCTTGATAGAATCCAAGCATTGCCGCTACCAAACTGGAAATACAGAAAGATGCTAACGAGCAAGACCATAAGTGTAAGCAAAGTCTAATGCTGACGCAAATAAAACTTGGGGCCTAGATTTGACCTTTTCGCTGCTCGAGGGTGATGCTTTCTCGTTAAAAGTGCAAAATTTGGCAGTAGAAAACATAGGACTAAGAAATTGGTACCAATGAATTTAGGTGCTTTCTCTGAGACAAAGAAACAAAACATTGGTTTTTCAAAGCGTCATGGAGTCTCAATCTTAAACACATATTTCACGCGATTTTTAAAAAGGTTTCTGCTTGCGCACTTTTCGCTGTCACGTCTGGTCTGTTTCCTGCAAAAGAAATGCTCCATATCAAAGGTTAGAGCAATATAATTTATTAATAATAAATAAAATTAAAAGTTTCATAGAATTTCCGTCCAGTCAGCATCAAATGTTAATTATCAATAATTATTAATATATATAGGTTCCATATATATATATGAATTCAAGCATGTTTCCTTGAATAATATAGACATTATTTTTATAATAGACATATTTATATTTATAATAAACCAAGCGACACTCATCAAAATTTATTACAGGTGTAGCAGCAACGTGTTGAAGTTAATTTAGCCAATAATTAATGCCATTTTCCATTTCTACCTTATATTGGGACGCTTGTTTTGCAAAAAAATTCCATACCTACAACGATTAAATTAAAAATTTTAAAATAATTATAACCATCAAAGTTTGTTTTTGTAATTCAACCCTGAAGATGACCTTGGAAGAGATCGAAGTACTTGGGTAGAAAAAAACGACGACGCCTTCTTTGATTTAAGATAGTGCTAAATATTAAAAATATCAAAATAATATTAAAAAATAGGGCATTAATAATATTATCTAAAAAATTGCTTAACTTTAAATGTCAATTTTTGTCGTTCTCCCTGACTTCGAAGTTTCATGTTAATTTTAAGTCTTCAAGGGGTTCTGTTTTTTAAATGATATATATTTTGGAAATATTTAAAAAGCAGAACCAATTACCAATTACCAAGAACCTTCGAAGTCGGGGAAAACAACAACAAAAATTATTTTTAAAGTTAATTTATCTTTTTTACCTAATATCCTATATATATATATATATATATATATATATATATATATATATATATATATATATATAGTTTTAAGGTATGCTATTTTATGTGTTAAAGTACTTGATATCAAGGATAGAGCGTATTTAAATATAAAAGTATATATTGGTGTCAACACCAAGCGGCGATAGTCTGTTTCATGCTTAAAAGCAATTGCCAGGCAATGTGAGTTGTGTTTTGGCTCGACTATTTATATATGATGGTAAGTGATGCATTATGGGTATCATTCTAAAGGTTATTGGGTAGGTGGTAAAATTATTCAAGGGGCCATTGAGTGGAAATATTTATTGGCTATTTTGTAGTGTTTGTTAAATTTATTATTAAATGCTTTTTTATTTGTTGTTGATTGGTATTATTACGTTTACTTGTGTTTATGTATTCGTAATTTGTTAATTTGTTTATTATTTACTTAATTTATTCATTTATTGATTCTGATTTTTTCCTAGTGAAACCATCTTCAAATGTCTATTTCAGTCGGTTCCTATCTATCTATCTATCTATCTATCTATCTATCTATCTATCTATCTATCTTGTCATTCATTTGATGTACAGTTTTCTATATCATATTTTTCTAAATATATATAAATACAATATTAAACTACCGTCCTGTCTATCAACTTAACTATCAATTTTTTCTCTTGGTTCCTTTTCATTTTTTGAAGAAACATGATTAATTTTTTCAATGTAGAATTTCTCCACTGAAATAATTGAAATCGTATTGATAAACGACAATTCCTTCACTGATATTTTTCTGATTCTTAATTGTTTTCTTAGATCAATAATGGCAAAATAATTGATGAATTTATTGATTTTAAATCTTAGTTTGTATAGACATAATTAAAACTTCATTTAATTACTTTTTTTCTTTGTGTTTTCTTCTACAATTTGCGTTTGGACGCCATATTTGTTCTGTTAATTATAGCGCCATTTTGTTTTTTTTTCTTTTCTTTTTTTAAATTGCTTTCATTTTTGTTTTCCAGATCTCTTTACTTTACAAAACTATAAGTACAATTATTCTGGTAATCAAAATTCAGATTGAGGTCGGAAATAGCCGCCTGTACTTTATTTCAATTAACACAATTTTGTTTTAATACGAAACCATTATTGTAGCCTTAAAATTTATTTTCAGCAAAATCCTGTATGTCAATACTGAGATTTAAAATCGTTCGTCCATTTACACCCTCCCACCACCATCACTACTACTACTACTACTACTGTTAACATTAGCAATAAAAAATACCCTAATACGATATAAAACATGGCTCATATGGCATTTCTATTTTAATTGGTTGAGCGTGTTAAGAGGTACATGTTTTGTCTTCATGACTACATTAAATATCTCGTTCGATACGACAAATTTGCTTGTCATTTGGTAGATCCTAATCAGTTGGGCATGTCCTAACAGAGCAGTGTTTCTTAACGTGGACCCTCTGATCCACAAATGAACCTGACAAAATTTTAAAATCAACCTAGAGTTCGAGAGAAATGAAAAGGAAGAATTGATTGGATGGCTGAAATAACCCCTCACTCCCTTGCTCTTTGAAAAACATATGCCATTCTTACTTATTTTTTCCTGCCATCTGGTTGACTAAGGCGAGAATTTCTGCAGCAAACGATGCATTGCAAGACCTCGGCTTTTGATGTTTTACTTGATACAGGATTAGTGTAGTTATTAGTCAGGATTTATATTTTCTACTAAATTTTGCTTTTGTAAATAAAATGTATTTGTTGTTACATGGATTTTCTATTTGACACCAAAAATGGGTCATATGAAGAAAAATTTAAGAAACACTGCTCGAGAGGAGGACGCACTGTGTATCTTTCATGTTCATGAGCGGGAGTAGTGAGAGATCATCATGACTGGGTGTTGAGAGCGTTGTTTTTTTTAAAGTTTGAAGTAGGAGGCGGCAAATGCAACTGGGAGGCAGAAGTAAATTCTTGGGAACAACATCGGTCAGAGAGAACTGGGTTATTCGTCTTGAAGGTTCTTGTAAGGTTATGTAATGCTTTTATCAAAACTTGTGACCATTATCCTATATTTTTTATGAGGCAATGCCCAGGTCATATTTGTTGCCATGGTGGGTATATTGGGCTTTGCATATTTGTACGCCGGAGTGGGCGCCTCAAGGTAGTATAATGGTTAGCAAGCTTGTCTCGCTAGAACCATTACGACTGAGTAGTGAGTTCGATCCTCTCTGTGTGGCCCTTACGTTCGGCTTAGTGCCACATCTAAGCTACGCTTAGAAAATCATTATTTGTACCCTGGAGTTACATTTCTTTGAGTGCTGCTCTTATGCAACAATAATAATAATAATAATAATAATAATAAATACACACTGACAGAACAATCAAGGCCAACCGGCCAGATATTGTTATTAAAGACCACAAACAAAAACGGTGCCTCCTTATTGATATGGCAGTCCCTGCTGACTGCAATGTGTCTTTGAAGATATTCAAAAAGTTGTCAAAGTACAAGGACCTTGAAATAGAAATCGCGAAAATGTGGCATATGGGAACATCAACAATCCCTGTTGTAGTTGGAGCCCTAGGACTGGTTGGAAAAGATTCCAGTAGACTAATTGAAGGGATTCATGGAAGTCCATGCCTCAAGGAGATACAAAAAATTGTTCTGACAAGTACAGCCCACACCTTACGAAGGGCTTTATCTATGTAATCATTTTTTTTTTGTCAGTGTAAACGCCAGAAATCAAAGAAAATATAAATAATAATAATAATAATAATAATAAGAAGAATTATTATTTGATTCTTGCTGCACAGGACCAATGCTTACTAACTAGAAATTAACAAACACCCATACTGATAATTTGTGTTGATCCCAATGCAGATTCTGTGATAAATTTTATATCAGGTTGCACTGTGTTAGCACCAACTAAATATAAGACTCGGCATGATAGGGTGGACCCGGTTACAGTGATAGGACCTGTCATACCCTTGGGAAAGTTCTGAATCCTATTCTTCTCCTTCCAGCTATGGGTAAATAGCAGGACAGACCGGGTTATATAGCCTTGAATGGCAACTGGTCTCCCGCAGAAATAAATGACAACCTACTGCGGGTAAAAAATCTGTCTCGTCAGTCATGTATCACGCCTGGCACATAACTAAAGATAATTTTATGAGCTTTACAATACACAGAGACAGAAGAATCAAAGCTAATCGGCCAGATATCAAAGACTACAAGAACAGAATGTGCTTTCTTATTCACATAGCAGTCCCTGCAGATTGTAATGTATCTTTGAATATCCCCAAAAAACTATTTCATATACAAGGATCTTGAAATGGAAATCTAAAAAATGTGGCCCATGGGGACATCAATAATTCCAGTTGTAGTTGGAGCCCCCGGATTGATTGCAAAAATTTCCGATAGACTCATTGTAGGGATTCCTGATTTTCCATGGCTAAAAAAAATACAAAAAAAATGTACTCACAAGTACAGCTCACACATTACGAAGAGCTTTATCTATATAAAATGTT